CATTCAGTAATATACAAACTTCTATTTATGGCGCCATAACTTCTCCTGTCCTACACATTCTGCACTCATGCGGCCCTATATCAGCGCACTGTCACCTCCATATTTCACAGTCAACATTATGTAGTCACTGTCATAGTCTTGGTCAGGTCCACACCAAACAGTTTATTTGGTTTCATCTGCCCAAAGAATGTGCTGCCCGAAAGGGTTCATTTCATGTCCTTTGGCAAAGTAGCCTACTGAAGCTCTTGTACCCTCTCTAATCTTCATGAAATCTCAGTTGGGGTTCTTACTGGTTCTGGAAACTCATTATCATATGGAGCCTTACTGCATTACACACAACTCAGGCCTAAAATGGAGAAAGCTCACATTTTTATAACCTTGTTCGTGCAGTCAGCCTCAACAGGAGATGACTGGTGGAGTCACTTTTGCTGCACTGATGCTGTACTTTGGGGCACATGTTTCACTGTAGTCTTACCTGTTTGTTTTAAATTATGCATAAGCTCAAGTACTTTACACTTTAACTAAAAAAAATGTTATTTTAAGATACTATTCGAAATGATTTAAGATTTAGTTTACTGCATCATTTTGTATGCTGTGAATTATCTCTAAAGACATCATTTATATTAAAGTTGTTCTGAGTCATACTCTGCAAACGAGTTAGTTCCTAAATTCATGAGGACAATTTCTCTCTTTTATAACGTTACACTTGCAGAAACCATCCCTCTGTCTTCACTTAGCCACATTATCTCTCTTTTGCTCTCTCATGTTTTTATATGACCTTCATCTCCAGCTGCTGCCAGTGCACTGACCCTTCATGCATCTGTCACCCACTAGTGCAGGCTGAGACTCACGCTCGGTACTTCATAATTAATTGCCCAGTGTGCATGACAAGATTTTTTTTTAAAGCCAATATTCAGTGGTCACTATCACATTAATATAAACCAGCTGAACATCACATTAGCAGTAAAACAGAGGTGATAATTAAAAATGATCGTGGTGGGAGTAAATTGGTCAGTTTGAGGATTAACTGTGAAATGACTCAAGTGGATAAAAATGAATTGCACCCTCTGGTGCCTTAGCTAAGATTAAATGGCACTCAATGTGGATCAACTTCTCAATCAAGAACAAAACGTGCAGTGAAAATGCATTACAGGTGGAATAAGTGCCTCTACCCAGTTTCCATTATTCCTCAGCCACTATAAGCTTAAATCCATTTCAAACCTAAATCTCTCTGAGAAAGATATATCAGCAAGCTGCCAAATCCAGCACAGGCACCTTCAATTTGCACAGAAACGAAGCGTAGCCTCATCTTCGATATGTTAAATTCTCAAAGATCTGTGAGTTGTCTTTTCATCATAAAAAGAGAGAGCCGGACTAAACATTACACTGATTGAAACAGGCATGACCGACTTCCCTCAGACGTGTTTAAATAGATAGCATTTTGATAGCAATACATACCAGACTGAATTATCAAAGCAAAAAATAAATTAGCTTCATGCTCTCTTTTCTCCTGCCAGTACAAGCCTAGAGAAGAAAACATCTGACTACAATTTCCCAAGACAGGAACCAAGGTGACCCCTCACCCTCATCTTTGCTGATAGGTTTTCAGATTCAGTCTTTGTGCCAGGCTAAAATGCCTGGCTGGGTGTGAACATTTACCAGTGGCCTGAGCAGGCAGGCTGGTTGACATGCCTCCAGTGCACAGGTAGCATCAAAAGCCTCTGTGTCAGCTTGTCAGTTCAGCTGCCATTGGGAAGTGGGTGAGGGGAGGGAGGCTGGGGCAGACGTCTGTATTGTGTATCAATCACTGGTGCTCTGTCCTCAGCTATGCAATTTCAATGCCACAGACAACAAACACCACTGCACTTCCCAAAATGCCATTTGAACAGCAATTGAGATCATGTTTTTCCAACAGTACCTCTCTAAACCTCATACCACATCAACAGTCTCCCTCACTGCTTTTTTAATATTTGTATATCTCAGTTCACATGCAGAACATCCTGCCAAGAACCTATCAACTGAGCAATTAAGGTAGCTCCCTCCCCATGTGAATCATTTATCCCTTTCAGGAGTGTGAGCATGTTTATAATATTCATCGTGTTCCACTTACTCATGCTGCAAGCAATGAGAAGAGTCACAGTGGTTAAAGGTAAAAGTGAGGACAGAAAAAAAAAAAAAACAAAACAGTGTGGAGCAGTAGTGGGAAAAACTAACACGAGCCGGCAGCGGCATGGAGAAGAAGAAAGCAAGCTACGACAGGTGGAGTGTGTGGTGGTTGTTTGTGGGCATAGGATGAAAGACTGTGTGGGTTGAGAAAATGCAAAGTTTGTTTCAGAGGTTTCAGAATTTGACCACAGTCGCCAGGTTAAACCCTGGATTGCAGTGGAGTTGGTGGGGGATACAAAAGCAGAACCAAGCTGAGGGCATGAACTAGCATGATCACACATCATAAGCCTGCTACACATGAGCTTTGTTATCTCTAATTTCAAGCACAGAGGGCAAAAGTGTTGAGTGGAAAGTGCGGCAAGGATTTGGTGTGTGAAGTGCAAACAACAAGAGCAAGGGGTCCAGAAAGGAAAGCTGTTGAGGGGACAGATTAGGACAAGGCCACGAAGTCCAAGGGCAAGGGTGGTAGCTCTAAAACCTGATAGAGATAAGATCGGAAATCCACCATTGCATGATGTCCCTTCATCATAGGATAATCTTTGGACACAAAAAATACTAGCCAATCTCCAATAAGAAGGAAGTCTCTACTCCCTGGACTGATCAAATGCATAATCCAAAGCTGACACGCCCTTCACGCATCTGCCCATGCTCCCCTGAAGCTTACAGTATGTGTACTTTAGATAAGCAAGGGAACAAGGTAATGCATATGGGTCTTTACCCTGTGTGCCACACCTATATTATGACAGATACATTTACAAAGTCTATTGTGAGTAGTGGAAATGTTGGTCAAACAGTACATAACAGTTTTTTAAAGTGAAAATAGGTCTAACGGATCAAGCAATGTAATAATGATTCCGACTACACCCAGTTCTAGAAGAGACGACAACAAAATAAAAGATTACCAAGTCATTTTAGATGAGCTGCTTCAGATGAACGGATGTTTGTTTAGTGTTGTTTTTCTGCTTGTAGGCTACAGACAGGAGGCATAGGATTGCTTGATGTTTACAGGGATTATGGTTTTATTTTCAAAATGAAAATGACAGGAGTCCGTAATCCAATGCAAAGGAAACAAAAGACACTGGGAATGGGTTCAAATTCATTTGACCTAAAAAAAAAATTGTAACAACCTCAGAAATGCTGTGCATGCTTACAGGAGACACCATGATTTAAACTGAGAAAATCTGTAGAAATAAAAAAGAAAGGATGAATTTAACCTAACCAAACCATGTATGCTCTTAACAGCTGAGTGATCTCTGGCCAATGATTCACTAGCTCTATTTCTCCGTTGGTCAGAGTCTATTTTACTGGATCTAAAAATACTGAGTGGGCTCACCACAAAGTTTCCAGAGCAAGCGGCCTATTACCAAATAAATAATAACAGAAAAGGGCTTGTGGCAATGTCTGCCTTGTTTGTTATTTCTTTGCTTCACTTATTTTACAGGGCATGCATTTACATTTGGAGTTTTGGCACTGTTCTGCAGATTTCTCACACACTAACATGACCTGAATGAGAAATTTCTCTTATTCACTTGCCCTGAAAAGAGCATCTGAAGAAGTGTGGTACGCTTGTCTTTTCACCCTTGTGGAGAGCAGGAGAAAACATTTATCACCACTCTCCTCTGCGCAGATAAGGTGTCTCTATTTATTCAGAGTGGAAGAGATAAACCCTGAATGAAGCATTGTGGGGCAGTGAGAGAGATGGTGGAAGGAAGGAAAGTACAAGGGAAGCAGCCTGGTTTTCAATTGCTCGTGTGCAGATGACATCTATGGGAAACATTCCCTGCTAGGTCAGGAGACTGGAGGTTGAATCCCAACGCCTTTCCATCCACCACTACTACCACCTGCCATCGCCTTCCTGTCTCCACGTGTCGTCTGCCTGCACTAATCTATTCCCACTAGGAGTCTGCTTGTATAATGTTGTTTAATGGGAATAATCCCCAGGAGATTGGGCATCCTATGTCCAGTAGGTCTGCACACAAGGGGGTGAAAGATGGCAGGAGGGGGAGACTAAAAGGACGATTTAGAAAAACAAGGGAGTACAGTGGTCAGTTGGGGGCCGCACCAGGAACTGAGAGATACAGACTGACAGAACTACACAGGAGACTCAACAGGGCCATGAATAGTGCTTCTGTCTCTCTGTTCTC